GTGTGTGTGTGTGTGTGTGTGTGTGTGTGTGTGTGTTTCACCTCTGGTCTCATTTAATCCTTATGTCAATGTCAGAGATTATGTGACTTGTCCAAGATCTCATAGCCGGTAAGTGAAAGATGCAGACCTTGAACCATGTCATCTTCCCACCTCTCCCATCTAATGCCTCTCACTTCTAGAAACCTCCCTGAGTACACCAGCTCACAGCAGTTTCCCCTGTGGTCTCTGTGCTTCCCCTTAGGCTATGACTTGTAAAAAGCAGGTACCCCGCAACCCCACAGTTTAGCCAAGGGGGTAGACACGTAAGAGACCCTAAAGGCATATTTGTCTCCTGAATCAGTAATGAGATTTACTCCTTGGTGATAATGGGTTTAAGTTGCTTTTCTCCTTTGGTATTCTTTGGAGAACTTCTCTGGTTTGTGCCCAAAACACAAACCTAGGTCCAGTGGAAATGACAGTGAACCAGGCTGTCCCATAGTAATGCAGGCTGCTTGTAGAGAGAAAAGAGGAGCCTCTACTCCTCCTCTGTTCCCTGGTGTCTGTGGCTTTAGCTCACCCTGGCTGAGGTCAGCTGTACTCAGGAAATCTCTTTGCTGGGGAGAAGAAAGGTCATTTTGGAGCTTGGAGCAGCCAGAGAGCACGATGCCCTGGGTTGGAAATGTTGGAACTGCAGACCAATTTCTCCCACCCTGGTCTTTGGCCTACGTGGCAAGACGTTTTCTCAGCAGGCAGGCCCTGCCCTGAAAGCGTCCACAGAAATGCTATATTTCACCACAGCTGTTAGCAATGGTGGGCCTACGTTGGAAGCAGAGTCCCAAGGCCCAGGCAATTACAAATCGATTTCTCCATGGACTTTATGTCTTGCAGAGCCTGGTAAGAAGGAAGGAGATCTTAAGAGCTACTTACAGCAAATCTTCGCTACTTGCACTTCTGATGACACCCGTGCTGATTCCGAGCCATACCCATCTTTAGCTGTAGCCCCAAGAGCAATCTAGGGGCCATACAGCCTAGTTTAGAGGCTATTTCTATTTCCAGAAAACTGCTGAGGGAATACTTTATCCTCAACAGGACCCACTCCTCTATGATGGGAAGAAACTGCTATGCACATATGCTGCTTTTAATGTGCAGTGACTACTTGGCCAACAGCATCATACATGTACTAGTGCCTCCACACGCATTTTGCTGGATGAATGGTGGATCAGTGGAAGTGGCAACCCTGTTAAGTGTTCATGCCCTCAGCCGAAAGGTTCCCTTTCCCCAGGACAGAGGCTCTGGAGATGATGTTAATTGACAAAAGTTTTCAAAAAGCAGTTTGGCAATGTGTAGCAAGAGCCATAAAAATGTTCATACCTTTGACCCAACACCCCTACTCCTGGGAATCTGTCCTAAGAACATTCTTCAAATGATTGATACAAAGAATATGTAGTAACATGAAATGTTTATGACATAATGATAAACAAGTCTGGAAGAACTGACCAAGAAATTGGCCAGAGATGAGACTAGTTGTGTTAGAGCAATGAATTTATTGGAGATTCTTTTTCTCTTTTCCAAACTTTACATGTTAGGATATTGGTTTTACCCTCCTCTGCCACTCAGGGTCAATCAGTCAGGAACCTGGCAGAAACAGCACCCTCAGATGCAACAGTTAGTTGATGAAAGTTTAATAAAGGAACTATTCCCTGTTTCCAGTCCTTCCCACCCTGATTTCTGCAACTCTGAATGACTCACTCAACAATTACTGAGCACTACTTATTGTCTAGTGAGGGAGGTGGACTTTGAAGTACATAAATTGTGTCATAAATGCAATAATAAATATATAAATTGAGTGTTATAAGGAGCACAAAGAAAGAAGCAACTATCTGTCAGCAGGGAGCTGTGTATCAGGGAAGGCTTCCAAGAGAAGGTAATTGGTTCATGGTCAGCTTTGAAGGTTGTCTGCCAAGACACAAGGGCCACAGCCTGTACAAAGGCAGAAACGCATGGAATAACGCGGTGCATTTAGGAAATTACAGGCGGCTCTGCGGGCCGGAAGAAGCACGGGGTGGGTATGAAGGAACTATGGGAGAGAAGTCTTGAGTTAGGCCACCCAGGGCCTTGTGCTCTAAGTGGGCTTTGTGTTTTGGAGCCATCATCAGATTTGCGTTTTAGAGAGATGACTCTGGCCTCAGTGGAGAGAGTGGACTGAAGAGGGCAAGAATGGAGGCAGGGAAGAGTGAAAAGGAGAAGTCTTGGGGTCTTGGCTGGTCGGCCAGCAGATACTCTGTCTCAGCATTGGCCTGGCCTGACTTATACTTGGCCAGCGCCAAGCCTCTCCGGGATTTCCCTCCCTCCTCCTCCCCGAGGGCCCCCCGGGTGGGCGGGGAAGCAAGGCGAAGTGTGGCCCTGCCTGGGTGGTCTCCCGCGGCGCCGTTGCCTAGCAGCGGATCCGGCCGCGCGACTCTGGGTAATTTGCGGGCCGTTCAGCCAATGGGAGGGCGTCGCCCCGGCCCGCTCCCTTTTTCTGGGGCTACAGGCGCCTCCTCGGCACTGCGGTCGCCTCCTCGAGCCATGCCGGGCTTTGCGGGCCTGTAGCTCTGCGGGCACGCGGGACCCACTCCGGCCGCACCCCCTGCACGCCTCCCTCTCACAGCCACCGGTGCACACCCGCACCGCGCCCGCGCCCGCTCCTGAGCGGCCCCACTGAATCCAGCGGCGCCCCGCGGTACAGGGACACCAAGGCCAGCCTATGGGCGTTCCCCGATAACGCGAGTTGGGGGCGCCCACGCCCCCCATCCCTGCCTGCATGGCTCGGCCGCCGCTCCTCAGGGAGCTGCCCCCGGGCTACGCACCCCCAGCTCGATCGGCAGCACCCCAGGTGAGTGGAGGGGAAGACGGAAAATCAGGACCAGGTCTAGAGACCCCAGGTCTGTGACTCGGCCTCTGCAAGGTGTGATGTCTCTAAGTGCCTTGTGTTATCGCCCTCTTGGGAAAGGTTTGTTTGTGTGTCTGCCTGTCTGTCTGCGTCTCCTCGGCATCTGGCTGGTGAGAGTGAGTGTGTCTGTGGGTTCACCTCTGTGTCCACCTGAAAACAGATGTATGTATACTGTATATATGTGTGTATCCTACTCTCAGAAAACAGGTTTTTGCCTTCCTCAGGTGTATATTGGGTGGGGGGCAGGAAATGGAGTTAAATCTTTTTGCATGTTTGGGCCTGGGTCTGTGTAGGTCCTCGCTGTCCTGCATCCAGAAACCAAGAAGCCAGGGCTTGACTGAGGGTGTACATAAGGAGAAAAGGGAAGACTTGCATGCATCATTGCAGTAATGCCTGGCTGACCCTTCTCTTTCCATCCCAGATCCCACTCTGGCTTCGTGCTTACTTCCAGAACCTGCTCTTCTCTCTGGGCTGCGGGATCCAGAGACACTGTGGCAAAGTGCTCTTCCTGGGACTGTTGGCCTTTGGGGCTCTGGCATTGGGCCTCCGTGTGGCCATCATTGAGACAGATCTAGAACAGCTTTGGGTAGAAGGTGAGTTGTGGACACTGGCCATAGCTACTTGGGTATGGGGAGCCCAAGACAAGAACGGGGTGAGGAACTGGCTACTGAGTTCGAGTAGGCTTGGCTCTAGGTCTAGAGGGGGCACCTGCCTGCCAGAACTTGGGCATCTGGGACCACTGCTCCCTCCCAAACTGTAAATGGACATCTGTAGATAATGGAGTCCTGTGAATAGGTATATAGAATAGTTATCTGTGAGTGTGTATGTTTATCTAGCATTTATTGCTAACCTTTTTTTTTTTTTTTGTGAGGAGGACTAGCCCTGAGCTAACATCCAATGCCAATCCTCCCCTTTTTTCTTGAGGAAGATTGGCCCTGAGCTAACATCTGTGCCCATCTTCCTCTGCTTTACATGGGACGCCGCCACAGCATGGCTTAACAAGCACTGCGTCAGAGCACGCCCAGGATCCGAACCTGCGAACCCCGGGCCGCCACAGCGGAGCACACACACTTAACCGCTGCATAACCAGGCCAGCCCATAAAGAGGTAATTTTTTTTTTTTTTTTGTGAGGAAGATCAGCCCTGAGCTAACATCCAATGCCAATCCTCCTCTTTTTTGCTGAGGAAGACTGGCCCTGGGCTAACATCCGTGCCCATCTTCCTCTACTTTATATGGGACGTCACCACAGCATGGCTTGACAAGTGGGGTGTCAGTGCGCGCCCAGGATCCGAACCTGCAAACCCCAGGCTGCCGAAGCGGAGTGCACGCACTTTATTGCTAACCTTTTGTGTGTATTTTTTACTGCACTGCAGGGCTTGCAGAGGCAAGTGAAACAAGACCCATCTTTCAGTAGCAAGGAAAGTAAAATATGTGCTGGGATATAACACACAATATAACACAGAGCAGAATATGATTATGTTGTATAAGAGAAGGAAAGGAGAGGTCACATCTTGCCAGGAGAATCAGAAAAGATAGAAGTGGAGGCCTGGGGAAACTGAGTACATCATCTGGCAGGCCTCCGGGGACAGGTCCCATGACCCACAGCCCCTGCAACCATTTAGTGGAACAGTAGCAGAGAATCTGCACTTTGAGGCACAGCAAGATCAGATAGGACCAAATCCTCACTTGCTAATGGAAGCATTAAATAAAAATCATTTCTTATTAATAATTTCAGCATAACTCTCTTCTTTCCTGGGCCCTGGTTTTATATGTCAGCTGTTTAACAGAGTCAAACTCCCCTGTGTTCTTTCCTGGGAAATGTGCATTTGTGAGCTCCCCCAAACCTCCCCCAGCCCTGGCCCACACCCAAAGGCAGGCCCCAGGTTAGAGTCTCACAACTTTGAGTTATTTCAAATGTTGACAAGCCCTAGGATCCAGAGCAGATGTTTCTTGGAGGCTGCTTGCCTGTTGGGCTCCCACACCCCATCCCCACCCTACCCCCAGCCCTCTATAGACTCTCACAGACATACACACTCTAGGCCAGCCCTAGGGTCCAAAGCAGATGTTTCTCTGTGCCTGCCTTCCTGCCCCCAGCCCCAGGACACACATGTGCATACACACACATACACATACCACCACCCACACCACTGCTGTGTGGGTGGTCCCAAATGACTCTTGGATTTCCTGCCATAATAGAAGCTGTCTCCCTCCCCTTCCTCCTCCAGTCTCCAGATCTTCTCCAAAACTACTTGAGCCTCCATGTTTCCTCATTCTCTCTCCTACACTCCAGCATAGCACAGGCTAGATCCCACTAGATTTTTGCTGCTCTTTGGAGGAGGTGATAGAAGAGGATGGTAGCCCTTTTTTCTTTATTTCAGAACACCACTCTGTCCTTTGTTGGCTAGGGCTGGGGGTGAGGTAAAAGTGGTGGTCTTGACCTGATCTTTTCTCTGAACATCTGTAGCTGAGCCTTCTATGTAGTTGAGGAAGCCAAGAGTTGCTGATCAAGGTGAGGTCTGAGGGGTATTCTCTATTCCTTTCCCGTTTTGCTAATACAGGAAGCAAAAGAAGAAGACAGACACTGACTGTCAGAGTTCTGGACCAGAGTGCAGGGTCCTCTCCAGCTTTGTCATGGAGAGACTTGAAATGTGACTTGTCCTTCCTGATCAGTTTCAAAGCTAAAGGGCTCAGAGATAGATTGTTCTTTAAAATAAAAATCACAACAGATAGCCCAACTAGTACTTACACAAGCAGTGATAGAGATGGTTTGAAATTGGAGCTGTTCCTGAAGATAAGGAACATATATTCTATTCAGAAGGCAGGGGACAGCCACATATCAGTTGGTTAATCAAATACCCAAGGCTGAAACCTTGGGAGTCAGCCTCAGTTCTTCTTGCTCATCTAATCAGTTACAAACTCTTCCTTCTTAACCTCTCTCAACAGACCCCTCCTTTCCACCCTGATGGCCATTGCTCTAGTTGAGGCCTTTTTCAGTCTCTGGCAGTACACTGCTGAGTGTAACATTTAGAACACTTTTAGCCACACGAAAGAGAAGGAGAGAAAAGGAGGGAGAGAGGAAGCAAGAAGATTGATTTATTATCCCCTGTAACAAGAAATCTGGCAGTAGACAGTAGAGAAGTTCCAGGATGGTTAATTCAGCAACCCAAGGACATCAGCAAGGACTCAGTTTCTTTTTATCTTTCCCCTCTGCCTTCTTCAGCATGTCGGGCTTTTGTCCTCAGGCTTATCACCTCCTCGTCCCAAAGTGGCTGCTGCAGTGGCAGAAAATGAAAGTCATCTCTGTCTTGTGTCCCTTTTTGGTTTTTTTTAAGATTTTTATTTATTTATTTTTCCCCCCAAAGCCCCAGTAGATAGTTGTGTGTCATAGCTGCACATCCTTCTAGTTGCTGTATGTGGGACGCGGCCTCAGCATGGCCTGAGAAGCAGTGCGTCGGTGCGAGCCCGGGATCCGAACCCGGGTCGCCAGCAGTGGAGCGCGCTCACTCAACCACCAAGCCACGGGGCCGGCCCTTGTGTCCCTTTTTGAAAGTGAGGAAAATTTTACCAGAAGCCCCCCAGCCGACCTCCTATTTGGTCACTTTGGCAAGAACTGTTTGTAGCATCCTATGCCTAAATCCTTCACTTGGCCAAGGCAATGGAATAACTGTGATTGACTTAGACTAATCAAATTTCACTTCCTGAGGCTGGGGAGGGGCCCAGCTGCCCTGAGTCACTAGGCCTTTCAGAAGATGGCCAATGAAATCAAGGTCTGTTAGAGAGGTGAACGAGTGATCTTCTGTAGGCCTCACCTTCAAATCTGCCTCTGCACTGCCCTCCGGTGGTGGATCTAAATCTGAGCAAGTCAGTCCTCTGCTTAGAGCCTTTGCACAGCTTTCTAACAGGTTTTGGGGGGGCTCCAGAATCAAGTCCCAGCTCCTTAGCACATATTCTAGGCTCTCTGTAATCTAACTCTTGATTGCTTCTCCAGCGTTGTCTCTGCTTCACTCTTAGCAGTCCAGCAGCGCTGAGCCTTTGACAGTTCCCTGCACAGAGTTGGTCCAGAAAACCTTTTCCTGACTTCTTCCCCTGGCCAACTCCTATTCATCATTCACAACTCAGCTCCACAGTATATTAAGTGACCAAAAAACTCAGGTCATCTCACTTCTCTGCTCAAAACCTACCATGTTTCCCATTTCACTCAGGGACAGCCTGAGTCCCTACAATAGCTTACAGGCCCTTGCATGTGAAATTTTTGGACCAAAGAGTATGAACATTTCTGAGGGTCTGGATATATATTGCAGTATTGCTTTCCCCCAAATATTGTACCAAATTACACTCCTGTGGTAGGTTAGAGTGCACTCCTGTAAGCTAGCAATAAATGCTACCAATTTTTTAAATTTTGCTAATTTGATGGATGGTAATTTATTACTGTTTTAATTTGCATTTACAGGATTACCTATAAGGTGGACTCTTTTTCCATACTGGTTAACCAATTATATTCTCCCTTTTGTAAAGGCACCAAAGTTTTTAACAATTGTGTTGATTTTGCTGTCTCCTTCCCCTGTTCTCCTATTTCCTCCCCACTTACTTATAGTCTTTTTATTCTCCAGTTCTTTCTCATTTTTCTGTCACATCATTTCTCTCCCAGCAACTACTGAATGATAATTCCATATCTGTACCTACTGTGAGCTGGGCAATTTCCTAAGTACTCTGCTTGCATTGATTCTAATTCTACCAAGGGAGGCATTGTTCGCATTTTACAGATGAGGAAATGGAGAGTCAGAGAGACTAAGTAACTTGCCCCAAGCACAGACTGAGTAGCAGAGCCAAGGCTCAAAGCAGGGTCTGCACAGATTCTTTGTGCTCTCCCTACACCTGCTCTTCTTGCCCTCATAGGACATCCAGTTCCTCTGTCCTCATGTCTATCATCATTGTTGTCAGCTGAGGTTTATCTTGTTCTCTTCCTCATTTTTTCTGAGGATTCTTTATTCTCTTTGATGTTTTATTTGAAATTGTCAGTGTTTCTTTCTCTTGTTTTCTTATTAGCTCTCTCTGGGTTCCTTCCTTCTCCCATGCCTCCTTCCGCTCAGCAAACTCACGTACTATGGGGAGCTTATCTCTGTCCTCCCCTCCTGTCCCTCTTCGTGGCAGCTCTGGCCTAAGCCTGGTGGAGTAAACACTCCAGTACAGGCCTGAGGAAGGATTGAGGGGTCAGGGAAGGAAGAAAAAGAGTAGGTGGAATATGTCAGTGGAGGAGGCAGGACGGCTGTGTGAGACTGTTTTTATGAGAGGAGGGCCTGGAATGTGACTTGGTGGGGTATGTGAGCATAGGGGTGAATCTGTGTTGGGGGTTACTAAGGGTTTGGGGCTCTCATGAGTGAGGAGATTATATGGGTTTGAAAAAGAGATTGGGGGGCCGGCCCCATGGCTTAGCGGTTGGGTGAGCGCGCTCCGCTGCTGGCGACCCGGGTTCGGATCCCGGGCGCGCGCTGACGCACCGCTTCTCCGGCCATGCTGGGGCCGTGTCCCACATGCAGCGACTGGAAGGATGTGCAGCTATGACATACAGCTATCTACTGGGGCTTTGGGGGGAAAAAAAAAAAAAAAAAAAAAAACTTTAAAAAAAAAAAAAAAAAAAAAAGAAAAAGAGATTGGGGAGCATGATGATCCCAGGTGAGGCTGGAGTCTAAGAGAAGAGTATATGTAGGCCCTAGGGGTGGAGTGACCACTAGGAAGAGGCCCCAGACAGGTGGAAGCAAACTGGGTCTAAGACCAGACCAAGTCCACAAAGCCTCCGGGATGGTTTGGCACTGGCCCTTGCTCTCCTCCAAACCACAGTCAGGTCACATCCCCTGACAGTGTCCTTGCCTCCCACGGGCCCCAGTTACAGAGCATGACTCCATGGCCAGCGTCATGCTGGACTTGAGGGGTGCTAAAATCAAGGAGACTGAGGGGTGCTAAAATCAAGGAGACTAAGGCAGGCCTGGCACTGGGATTCCCCATGGTCGGGACAGTGAGACTGGTGAAAGGGATCTGGAACCCCTTCTTCCACTTGGCCCACTTTTTTTTTTTTTTTTTTTCCCTTTTTCCCCCCCAAAGCCCCAGTAGATAGTTGTATGTCATAGTTGCACATCCTTTTAGTTGCTGTATGTGGGACGCGGCCTCAGCATGGCCAGACAAGCGGTGCGTCGGTGCGCGCCCGGGATCCGAACCCCGGGCCACCAGTAGCGGAGCGCACGCATCTAACTGCTAAGCCACAGGGCCAGCCCCCTCCCTTGGCCCACTTTGATGTCACCTCTGCCAGAGTACAGGAGCTGATTCCATGTACTTCTTGCATGAGTGGAAGCAATATGTTGACAGCATCACACTGAAAGACTGTCTGATCCTCCCCCTCTCCTATGTGACCGCAGAGCCCATTATTACCAGGCTCTCTCAACCCGACCCTCTTTGCAGAGCAGTTTGCAAAAAGGCTTATGGATATAAATCACTGCCTGGGGCAACCTGGACTAGGAACCAGGCCCAGCCCTAGACCTGTTCTTTTAGGAGACCCTCTCAATGGCAGCCTCCGTATTGGCCCCTTTTGTCCCTGCTTGTCCTCCCCGCCAGAGCAGCAAGAGACTGAGTGAGAGCTCCCTTACCAGGACACCCCCATAATCCCAGCTTGGCCCAGCTTTTTTTTTTTTTTTAAACAATTCATAGGTTTATTTTTATTTTATTTTATTTCATTTCATTTTTGGTGAGGAAGATTGGCCCTGAGCTAACATCTGTTGCCAATCTTCCTCTTTTTGCTTGAGGAAGACTCTAGCTGAGCTATCATCGGCACCAATCTTCTATTTTGTACATGGGATGCCACCACAGCATGGCTTGATGAGTGGTGCATGGGTCCGAGCCCGGGATCTGAACCTCCTATCCCCGGGCCGCCAAAGCAGAGCGCATGAACTCAACCACTACGCCACCGCTGGCCCAGCTTATTTTTAAGTTATTTGTCCCAAGCACAGCCAACCTGGTTCATGCTTAAACCTTAGACCACACAAGAATTCCATAGAGCCACACAGCTGACACCTCTTGCTTCCCTGTCAGAGCTCCAGAGTCCGAGGAGAGGGCCAGGAGCCCGGGGAGTCAGCGTGGCCATCAGGGAGAAGGTGGGGGCTTCTCTCAGCAGTGCTGCTCCCACTTGTCCTAGGAGGCCTCAGTGGGTTAGGGTCCCACATCCCTCAGAGCTCTGATCCACCGAGGCTCTCTCCTCCCAGCTCTCTCTCTCTGCTCTGGCAGTGGGCAGCCGGGTGAGCCAGGAGCTGCATTACACCAAGGAGAAGCTGGGGGAGGAAGCTGCATACACCTCCCAGATGTTGATACAGACCCCGCGGCAGGAAGGGGAGAATGTTCTCACACCTGAGGCACTTGGCCTCCACCTCCTGGCAGCCCTCACCGCCAGTAAAGTGCAAGTGTCACTCTATGGAAAGTGAGTCTGGCTGAGCCCCAGAGCAGCTGGGAGTGAGAGGTGCTATGGCAGGGCCGGAGCAGGAATCCCCCTCTTCTGCTGATCTCTTCTGCCCCTGGCTATTGTAGGTCCTGGGATTTGAACAAAATCTGCTACAAATCAGGAGTTCCCCTAATTGAAAATGGAATGATTGAGCGGGTGAGTATCCTGAGCTGTTTTCTGAGACTCCGGGAGGCTAAAGTCTGGAGATGGGGGGTTGCAGAGGGCATCCTACAAATGTCGTGGAGAAAGGAGCCCAGGAACAGAACTGATGTGGCCTGGAATGTCCCTGGCAGATGATTGAGAAGCTGTTTCCGTGTGTGATCCTCACTCCCCTCGACTGCTTCTGGGAGGGAGCCAAGCTCCAAGGGGGCTCTGCCTACTTGCCGTGAGTGCCACCATAGCTGCTCCCGGGCCCTGCTTCGTCTCCTGCCAGGACTTCCCCAGCGGAAAGGAGGGGTGGGAGTGAAGATGATAATCAAAACCTCAGCCGGGGCCTAATGACCTCCCAGGCCAGGGTCAGAGCACGGGCTGCCCTGGGGCTCTCTCCACATCCACATCCCCCTTCTCGTCACCTCCAAAGGAAAAGTAGACCTGTCTTATTTAGACAGAACAAACCACAAAGATCTGTAAGATCTGAGCAAAGGAGAAAAAAGATCCCCAGAAAGAGACTTTGCCAGGGAGAGTTAGCTAGGGATCAGTTAAGCTGTTGCCAAGGCCAGAAAGAAAACCTGTTACAGGCAGGTGCCCATATGGTTATGTATTAGAACCAAGGGTAGACGGCTTGGGAAGGGGCTCAGTGGGACTTCTCTGGGCCTTTTCCATGTATTAAGTACTGTCTGTCCTGATGTCCATCTCAGCCCCTTATACACATCCACAGCTCACTGCAGCAGCCTGGTGGGCTGAGCCTGGGAGCTCTGGGAAGCTAAACCCTGCACACCCATATGGAGGGACAAATGCATAGCTAGGAGGGTCGGGTACAGCATGAGTCCCCTAGCAACAGTTTGGAGGGTGGGAATTGATCCCAGATTCTCACCAACCATGGGCTCTCCTCCCAGGGGCCGCCCCGACATCCAGTGGACCAATCTGGATCCAGAGCAGCTGCTGGAGGAGCTGGGCCCCTTTGCCTCCCTTGAGGGCTTCCGGGAGCTGCTAGACAAGGCACAGGTGGGCCAGGCCTACATGGGACGGCCCTGTCTGCACCCTGATGACCTCCACTGCCCACCTAGTGCCCCTAACCACCACAGCAGGCAGGTGGGTTCCAGCCAGGTCTGCCAGGGAAAGGCGATTTTCCTTCCCTTATCCCTCCTCACATGTTCCTCTGTTCTGGGAGAGAGCAGATTGTGCTCTGTGCTCTGCCCCCCATTTCCGGGACATTGTTATCCTGCCCCCACTGTGCTAGACACCTAGAATATTCCATTCCATTCAGTCTTCTAAGGAACCCTCAAGTGGCATACGAATCCCTTTGTCCTTTTCTAAGCCCAGAAAGACCAGACTTTATCAAAATAGGCTTTACAGGGAAACTGAGGACAAATTAGCTAAGCACGAGTATCAGACCTAGTTTCCCGAGTACCTGTGTGGCCCTGTGAACGTGGACCTTTTTCCAAAATCCACCAACGTTATGCCAGCTCCTCCCAGCAGCCTATTTTCAGGCCTCTGCTCCCTCTTGTTGCCTCCTCTCTGCAGGACAGTAGCTGTTCACTCACAGAGGAGGCAAGAGGCTTAGGAGAATTGTTATCTGCACTTCAGGAATACAGAGCTCCGTGGAGGCATGGTTCCTGGAGGTACCAGCCCAGGAGCAGCCAGTTATCCACAGCCAGGGCCTTGAGTAATAAACCTCTCCCCTGTCCCCCTTCCAGGCTCCCAATGTGGCTCAGGAGTTGAGTGGGGGCTGCCACGGCTTCTCCCACAAGTTCATGCACTGGCAGGAGGAACTGCTGCTGGGAGGCATGGCCAGAGACCCCCAAGGACAGCTGCTGAGGTAGGGCCTCCCCTGGGAGTTGGCCAGGAAACCCCAGGCATGGGGATCTATACTCTAATGCCAGGAAACTTTGGCAAAAGCCCCTGAATCCCACTGTGTTCAGGCCAGCTCTGACCCCTAATTCTCCTGCACCCCCACCAGGGCAGAGGCCCTGCAGAGCACCTTCCTGCTGATGAGTCCCCACCAGCTGTATGAGCACTTCCGGGGCGACTACCAGACACATGACATCGGCTGGAGTGAGGAGCAGGCTGGCACAGTGCTGCAGGCCTGGCAGCGGCGCTTTGTGCAGGTCAGTGTGGAGGAGGGCGAGGGCAATGCCCTGAGGCTGCTCCCTCCTCCTGCCCCTCAGATCCACCCTGTCTCTCCAGCTGGCCCAGGAGGCCCTGCCTGAGAATGCATCCCAGCAGATCCACGCCTTCTCCTCCACCACCCTGGATGACATCCTGCACACTTTCTCTGAAGTCAGTGCTGCCCGTTTAGTGGGAGGCTATCTGCTCATGGTGAGTCCTGCTCCTGGCACCTTTCCCCACTTCCACTCGGTGCCCACCCTGGGAGCCCCTGTCCAAGACTGTGCCCTCTCTCCCCACAGCTGGCCTACGCCTGTGTGACAATGCTGCGGTGGGACTGTGCCCAGTCCCAGGGTGCTGTGGGCCTTGCCGGGGTGCTGCTGGTGGCCCTGGCAGTGGCCTCGGGCCTTGGGCTCTGCGCCCTGCTTGGCATCACCTTCAATGCTGCCACTACCCAGGTACACCAGGACTGCAGGGCAGACTTGAGTGCCACAGCTCAAGCCACTCAGTTCCTCCAGCTGCTTGCCCCTGTGCCCCTCCAGGTGCTGCCCTTCTTGGCGCTGGGCATCGGTGTGGATGACATATTCCTGCTGGCCCATGCCTTCACAGAGGCTCCACCGGGCACCCCTCTTCAGGTGAGGCCTCGTCCTCCAGCATGGGCTCATCTGAGGCAGTTCAGCATAGGGGTTAAGAGCCTTTTGGTTGGGTGACCTTGGACTGGTAATTAACCTCTCTATGCCTCAGTTTCCTCATCTATAAACAGGGGCAATAATACTGCTTGTCTCGTAAGGGTTGTTGTGACTATTGGTAAGATAATTCAAGTCAAGTGCTTAGATGTACATGCATGACACGTACGTGGTACTCAATAAATGTTAGCTGCCGTGTGGTTCTTATCCTACCTCTGCCATCCCAAGTTCCCAAGCCTCCCCTTCACTGTACCTTGAAGACCCATGCCCCCCATCCCCCATCCTGTCCTGGCAGGAGCGCACAGGTGAGTGTCTGCAGCGCACGGGCACCAGCGTCGCACTCACGTCCATCAACAACATGGTCGCATTCTTCATGGCTGCCCTGGTTCCCATCCCTGCACTGCGGGCCTTCTCTTTGCAGGTGAAGCCTCACGAATGGGGCCTGGGCTCAGGGTGGGCATGGAGCTGGGGGCATGCTTCATCCAGCTTTGTGCCCTTCCTGTCCATCCCCCAGGCAGCCATAGTGGTTGGCTGCAATTTTGTAGCCGTGATGCTTGTCTTCCCAGCGGTCCTCAGCCTGGACCTGCACCGGCGCCACTGCCAGCGCCTTGATGTGCTCTGCTGCTTCTCTAGGTACCCCCACCCCACCAGGCCTTCCTCCCTTGGCCCTATCCCATCCTGTCCCCTAAGCAGCATTTCCAGGCACAGACCTGTCGTCCCCTCTCTCTGCCTCTTCCAGCCCCTGCTCTGCTCGGGTGATTCAGATTCTGCCCCAGGAGCTGGAGGATAGGACAGTACCAGTGGCCATTGCCCACCTGACTGCCACAGTTCAAGCCTTTGCCCACTGTGAAGCCAGCAGCCAGCATGTAGTCACCATCCTGCCTCCCCAAGCCCACCTGGTGCCCCCACCTTCTGACCCACTGGGCTCTGAGCTCTTTAGCCCAGGAGGGTCCACACGGGACCTTCTAGGCCAGGAGGAGGGGACAAGGCAGAAGGCAGCCTGCAAGTCCCTGCCCTGTGTCCGCTGGAATCTTGCGCATTTCGCCCGCTATCACTTTGCACCCTTACTGCTCCAGTCACACACCAAGGTGAGACTGCAGGCCCGGGGAGGTCGAGATGGGCCAGAGCAGAGGCTTAGGTGTCTCTGGGCCCCAAGAAGGGCAGAGGGTCTGGCCCAGCACCTGAGGGCTGGGGGCATCCCCGGGCCTCCAGCTCAGTTGCTGTTTCCCACAGGCCATGGTGTTGGTGCTTTTTGGGGCTCTTCTGGGCCTGAGCCTCTACGGAGCAACCTTGGTGCAGGATGGGCTGGCCCTGACAGATGTGGTGCCTCGGGGCACCAAGGAGCATGCCTTCCTGAGCGCCCAGCTCAGGTACTTTTCCCTGTACGAGGTGGCCCTGGTGACACAGGGTGGCTTTGACTACGCCCACTCCCAAAGCGCCCTCTTTGATCTGCACCAGCGCTTCAGTTCCCTCAAGGCTGTGCTGCCCCCACCTGCCACGCAGGCACCCCGCACCTGGCTGCACTATTACCGCAACTGGCTACAGGGTGAGAGGCGAGGAGACAAGCGGGAGGGCTGCTGCAGGCGGGAGCCCCTGGGCCCACAGACTAACTGTACCCTGCCCTCTTCTCTGCCAGGAATACAGGCTGCATTTGACCAGGACTGGGCTTCTGGGCGCATCACCCACCACTCGTACCGAAATGGCTCTGAGGATGGGGCCCTGGCCTACAAGCTGCTCATCCAGACTGGGGATGCCCAGGAGCCTCTGGATTTCAGCCAGGTTGGGAGAGGGCTGGAAGGGTCAGGGAGCACCGAGGGGCTCCAGGCCTCATGGGCCCAGGCCTTCAGCCCTCTCTGCCTCTGCAGCTGACCACCAGGAAGCTGGTGGACAAGGAGGGGCTGATTCCACCTGAGCTCTTCTACCTGGGGCTGACCGTGTGGGTGAGCAGTGACCCCCTGGGTCTGGCAGCTTCACAGGCCAACTTCTACCCCCCACCTCCCGAGTGGCTGCATGACAAGTACGACACCACCGGGGAGAACCTTCGCAGTGAGTCCAGGGGTAGCCCAGCAAGAGCCTCGGCCTGGGCCCACACAGCCCTACCCTAAGGCCCTGCCCACTGCTCCCTGTGCTCACTGGCCCCCCTTCCTCTCCCTGCTGCCCCCTCCCATCTATAGTCCCGGCGGCCCAGCCCCTGGAGTTTGCCCAGTTCCCCTTCCTACTGCATGGCCTCCAGAAGACTGCAGACTTCGTGGAGGCCATTGAGGGGGCCCGGGCAGCGTGTGCCGAGGCAGGCCAGGCCGGGGTGCGCGCCTACCCCAGTGGCTCCCCCTTCCTCTTCTGGGAGCAGTATCTGGGCCTGCGGCGCTGCTTCCTGCTGGCTGTCTGCATCCTGCTGATGTGCACTTTCCTCGTCTGTGCCCTGCTGTTGCTCAACCCCTGGACAGCTGGCCTCATAGTGAGTCCTTGCAGGAGTAGGGCTAGAGAGACCCGTGGCTCCCCCACCCTGCCCTGCCCTCCCCATCCCGTTATCCCTCCTCCCAGGAGCCCTGGGTGAGCCCTGCCCTTCCCAGGTACTGATCCTGGCGATGATGACCATAGAGCTCTTTGGCATCATGGGTTTCCTGGGCATCAAGCTGAGCGCCATCCCCGTGGTGATCCTTGTGGCCTCTGTAGGCATTGGTGTCGAGTTCACGGTCCACATGGCTCTGGTGAGCACAGGCAAGGGGGAGGGGCGGGCTAGCTGATTCAGTGTACAAGAGATGGTTATCAAGCGCCTACTATGTCCTGGGTACAATTCAAGAATTGGGGCTATAATAGCAATACAGTCTTTACCTTCAAGGAGCATATATTTTAAGGGGTAGAGATAGACAGTAAACAAGTAAACAAATAAATAAGTAAGCAGCCATTTTAAGAAAGAGGAGGGGACAAAGACCTCACTAGAATGAGGTAAGGACAGAATGAAGGTAAGAACATGGGAATCAACAATTCTCTTGGATGGTTTTACTGTGAAGGGGATCAGAGAAATGGGATGGTAGCTGGTAGCAAGTGGGTAAAGGAGGAATTCTACCAATACAGAGATGGTAGAACTGAAGCAGGCAGGCTCTCCCAAAGCCTGTTGTCTGGCGGAGGAGTGGGAGGTGGGGTGGGGGCCACAGACTAGCAGAAAGCACCAACACAAACCTGGCCAGACCCCACAAACAGCTCCCTTCTTTTTTCTCCCATAATTGCCCTATTATGGTTCTGACTATAAGAACAATATACACTCCCTGGGGAAAAGAAAGTCTGTACGTGGACAAGTACAAAGAAAGAATTAGAAATCCTCTGAAATGCTACCCTGAGAAGTAACTGTTATCACTTTGGTGTCCATCCTTCTAGACCAGAGGTCAGCAAACTTTTCCTGTAAAGGGCCTGATAGTAAATATTTTAGGCTTGGCAGGCCATAGAATCTCTACTGCAACTCTGCCATTGTAGCACTAAAGCAGCCACAGAAAATAAGCAAGTAAATAGGTGTGGCTGTGCTTCAACAAACTTTTATTTACAAAAACAGGTGACAGGCCGTAGTTTGCTGACCTATCCTACGCATCTCTCTGTGTCTCACTAGGCACATCTATACAGTGTTACCTGAATGGACTCATGCATGCTTCCTGGACACTTCCCAGGAACTCGGTTCACCTGGCCTTCTGTGGGCCAAGGCATGGGTGAGCCCTGGGGATAGAGGAGCAGAAGTTGGGGCTGTAGATGAGCTGGCCTTGGTTGGCCAAGGAGCAGCTGCAGGACCACTTTGTCCCCCCAGGGCTTCCTGACCACCCAGGGTGGCCGGAACCTGCGGGCTGCCCATGCCCTAGAACACACATTTGCCCCAGTGACTGATGGGGCCGTCTCCACGCTGCTGGGTCTGCTCATGCTTGCTGGTTCCAACTTTGACTTCATCGTAAGGTAGGGGAGGGCACAGGGCAAGGAGGCAGGGCCTGCCCGTGCTGGCGACAGGGCCTGCCCCGGCTGACTGCCCACCCCCACCCAGGTACTTCTTCATGGTACTGACGGTGCTCACACTCCTGGGCCTCCTCCATGGGCTCGTGCTGCTGCCTGTGCTGCTGTCCATCCTGGGCCCCCCAGCAGAGGTGACCACACCCTCCCTCTGCTCCCAGCCCAGGGAACAGGGTGGGACAGGCAAGGGAAGGGACAGAAATGCCCTCAGTGCCAATAGACAGGGCTCAGCTGATGAGGACCCTCCCCATGAGGCGCCGCCAACTGAAGGTGGTAGCCTCCCCCTTTGCCCAGACACCATGTCCCTTTCCCTCAGCCCTCCTGGCTTCTTCATGGGATCCACCTTAGCCTTTTGGGGTCCAAAGCAAGGTACAGGTTTGCCCCAGGCCTCGCTATCCTGTCCCTTGTCAGCTCTCATATCCCGCTGGAGGCCAGCAAGGACCCCAGCTTCCCCACAATCGTGATGAGGCACTAAGGCACTGCTGAAGGGGACTGCGGCCCCAGTAGCTCCTGGGCTCACTGGAGCTAGTGTCTTCCCCCAGGTGGTACAGATGTACAAGGAGAGCCCAGAGGTCCTGAGCCCCCCAGCTCCACGGGGAAGATGGCTCCGATGGGGCGTGTCCACCACCCTGCCCCAGAGCTTTGCCAGAGTGACTGCCTCCATGACCATGGCCCTCCACCCACCTCCACTGCCTGGTGCCTACATCCACCCAGCCTCTGACGAGCCCACTTGGCCCCCTGCTGCCACACCAGCTGCCAACGGCTCCAGCAACCTCGGTTCTAGGGGACCGTGTCCAACAACAGGGTGAAAGAGCAGCTGAAGCCTGGAGCCCCCTGTGGGCCACATGAAGTCACTGGGAAGCAACAGTAGGGTTACTGAGTGCAGGGCGGACTCCTGCAGAGCCCTGCTGCCGTCTGTCTGAGTCCCCTCCCCGACTCGGCCGTCACAGACCTCCCTGATATTCAGACAAAACCGCCACCCTCGAGGCTGGAGCAGCCTTGCACCCCCGGGTCCTCTGTGCTTGTGCCTGGGTTGGGGCAGAGGCCAGCACTTCAAGCTGCAGTGCAGCCCTGTCCCCCTCCCGCCCACACTGCTGCTCCCCAGCAGACCAAGCCTGAGGGACCCTCCTGCCCCCTCCGCTGGGTGACTCCTGGGTGGACTCTCTGAATCCCTGCCCTCCTCCTACCACATAAATTATTTATATGAAGATGTTTATTTTTGTAGTTTGTGTAGATATTAGCTATGCTGAAAGTTTTATTTTTAAAGAGTGAAATATATTCTATATGAACTCAGCTCAAATGACTTTGGTGCTTTTCTTTCAGACGGAGTTGGGACTTTGCAAGTGGAGGTGTCAGGGTCTAAGGTCCTGGGGTTACTCTAGTCCTGGGCGGGAAAGGCCCCAGGTTCTAAATTTTTGTCATATGACTTAGGTCTGTTTATTCATGGGCAAGTGAAGATGATGTTCAGCAAACACATATTGGCCACATACTTGGTAACAGAGTCCAGGCGATGTGCTCAGTATACAAAATGATACAAATGTTTTTGGTGTCAAACCCTACTGTGTGGCTTTCAGAGCCATCATAATCCAGCCCTGCACACCTCTCCAGACTCATCTCCTGCCTTCCTGTTTCAGCCAAGTGAGGGGCCTGGGAGGAGGGGCACAGCCACACAGCCGGTGGGAGGTGAGGTGGAAGCAGACTGGGAAAGTGGCCAGTTGAAGCAGAGATGGGGGCAGCAGGGACTAGGGAGATAGTTTAGGAGTTTTATGCCCAGACCAACCACCAAGGCAGAGGCCTCTACAAGTCAGCAGTCAGCCTGGCGCCCCAGAGGCATCTTTGGCCAGCCAGCCAAGGAATCAGATGGGGGAAGTGTCCAGAAATTGAGGTTGTGCTAGCAACCAGTGAGGCACTGTATGTAAGCTGTTTGTTCTGTGAAGCTTGAACAGCCCCATTGTACAGAGGCCTTGAAGGTTCTGGCCACAGCCCTGGGCTGGAGTACCGAGCATCGCCCGATCATCGGGTGGGAGAGGTCTTTTATTGCTCTTCTCCAACTATTCCAGGGCTCAGTCTCAACTAACACACATATACACCCTAGGCTCCAGCCACCCACTCACCAGCAATGATCCCACCCCACCCTCTGGTAGTGTTTGGGTCACTATGGAGGGGCTTTTGCGTGGAACAGGAGAGCTCACTAGGCTGGAATAGTGCAAAAGATGTCAGCCCACTGTGCCACGTACAGGCTGGGTGACAGAGGAAGGTTAGCTAATCTCACTGAGCCTTGGTGTCTTCATCTGTGACATGGGAAGATTAGAGCCTACCGTGTAGGGTGCTTTCTCTTTCAGGATTTTAAATGAAATCATTAGGCCGGCCCCATGGCTTAGCGGTTGAGTGCGCGCACTCCACTGCTGGCGGCCCGGGTTCGGATCCCGGGCGCGCACCAATGCGCCGCTTCTCCGGCCATGCTGAGGCCGCGTCCCACATGCAGCGACTGGAAGGATGTGCAGCTATGTCACACAACTATCTACTGGGGCTTTGGGGGGAAAAATAAATAAATAAAGTTTAAATGAAATCATTTATGTAAGAAATGACTTAGCAGGCCAGCCCAGCGGCCTAGTGGTTGAGTTCGGTGCCCTCTGCTTGGCTGCCCAGGTTCAGTTCCTCGGTTCCCAGGCAAGGACCTATACCACTCATTTGTTAGCAGCCATGCCGTGGCGGCAGCTCATACAAAGAGGGAAAAAAAGAGAAAGATTGGCAACAGATGTTAGCTCAGGGTGACTCTTCCTCAGCAAAAAAAAAAGACATGACTCAGCATTTCATAGGTGCTCTCTTTTTGTTGCTTGTATAGATGTCAGCTATGCTGAAAGGTTTTGCTGTGATTGCATGCTTAGGGAACAACCCTGAAACATGGGTGTGGCAGCAGCTGAAGGGATTCAAGCCAGGTGGAGTTAGACCACCCCAGGAGTGGTCAGTCCTGGGGTACTGACCACATCTAGACTCCGGGCACAAGTCTTATCTCTGGGGACAGTGCTTGCAGAGCAGCCCACCCTGTGTGGCACTTCACACTATTCAGCCCTCTGACTTCAACATCCTTTCATGGCTCCCCCATCACTGACAAAATCCAAGCCTTTTCCAGGCCTAACTTGGGCTAGGTGCTGCCATTACCCCAGGTCTCTCTGCTACAGCGCCAAGCCAGACACACCCCCATTCAGACACACCACACTCTAGACAGGCTGAATTACTTTTCATGTTCACCGCCTATAATTTCGCATATGCCATTCCCTCTGCCAGGAACACTTTTCCAGCCCTCCTTGAAGGAACCATCCTTCAAGATAAATTGAATGTCATCTCCTCCAGGAGGGGTGATGGTGTGCCTCCTACGTGGTCCCACCGCCCCTGAGTGTCTGTACTCGACCATTTCCGCTTCTGTCCCTAGAACGAGGGGTTCCTTGTGGGTATGGAATGATAGGACTGAACCTCAACAATTGAGATTAACACTTAATCCCAGCCCCGGTAAGGGACTCGGCACCCGGCACCGGCGGGACACGCTCTTACCTCTCCAGGCAAACTGGGCGCGGTTCCAGGGTGGACTCGCACAGGAGAGAGGGAGAACTGCGCCCAGGGGTCCCCACGGTGCCACCCCGCCCGGTCCTGGCAGCTGGTGTCGCCGACAAGCCCGGAGCCGCCGGCGATTTGCATACCCATGGTGCACCACGAAAAGGCCGGTACACGATGCTTGAGTTCCAGCCCCACGGCGATTTGTCCACCGTTGTAGGGCATATTGCCCGTTAGAAATACACGCTCTATGTAAATTCCATGCGGGGAGCGCGACCCGCGCAGGCACTGAACAACCGTAAGTGTGTTAAGCGTTCTTTCGCTCTGGGCGTTTCAAACGGACGCTAGGTGGCATACTCTGGTTTCTCTTCAAATCGTATAAATCTTTCGCCTTTTACTAAAGATTTCCGTGGAGAGGAACAGTTAGGAGATTTTAACCAATTTTTTGAGGCCTCGTATTTACGAGGCTATGTGTTGCAGTTAAAAAAAAAAGAACAATCATCAAGTCCGTATGTTAGTGTGGTTGTCTTGAACACTTTCAGCAGGTTCTATAAGTCTCCGAACGTAGTAGTGTTGTATGTGCCAGACTTGTTTCGTCAGTAAGTGTAGCGTTGTTGCTATTTCGTTTTTATTTTCTTTCTTTGCACGAGGCTGCAGAAGGTGAAGGAGTTGAGGGATGAAGGGCAGTGAGAAAAGATGAAGATCACCCATGCGCATCCCAACAGTTTTGGCTTGAGGTCCGAAAGGGGGGTGAAGGCAGCAGTTCTTACCACCCCCCGTCCGACTCTCTGGTTCCCACCCCGGAGGCAACAGCCAAGGACAGTTTGGTGTGTGACTCTCTTCAGCCTGATTTTTCCCCTATTCAACTTTCACTCTATGCCAAACAGTTTTCCAGGCTGAAGGTAGGAGGTTCCTTCCTTAACTGAAGGAGCTTAATTTTTTAGTGGAGTCAAGCACTAAAAAGGTAAAAGTATAACCTGGAATAAACAATATACAATCTCAGTGAGAAGTGCCATGCAGAAAAAGAGCGTTATGAAAGAATGGACAGGGCTAGCTACCGAGTGTGGATGACCATGGGTCTTAGACCTAGGTCCTCGCGCCCATCTGCGTCCTCTCGGTAGGGAGCTCATCTAGTTCTACGGCTTTAAGTAAAGGCTTTCTCACAGCTGGTGACGTCCAACTTGACAGCCATCAGCAGGTCCCACTGACTCCCAGATTCAAAGCATATGCTTCATCCAACCACATTCTCCCTCCTCCACTGCTACCGCCCTGCTCCCAGCGGTCTTAATGCATTCACGCAAAAGCCCCTCCCTAACTGTTCTGCCTGGACCGCCCTCCCCCTTTGCCCCAGTTCTCCCCACAACAGCCAAATTATTTCTTTAAATATAAATAACCGCTTGTCCGGCCATGCTGAGGCCGCGTCCCACATACAGCAACTAGAAGGATGTGCAACTATGACATACAACTATCTACTGGGGCTTTGGGGGAAAAAAGGAGGAGGATTGGCAATAGATGTTAGCTCAGAGCTGGTCTTCCTCAGCAAAAAGAGGAGGATTAGCATGGATGTTAGCTCAGGGCTAATCGCCCCCCCCCTCCAAAAAATAAATAAAATGAAATGAAATAAAATAAAATATAAATAAATATCAGATAACACACAGGATTCTCCAGCACAAACCCCTCCAAATGCCTTTCCCCGGGACATGTGGCTCACACCCTTCCTCCTTCAGGTCCCTAGTCCAGTGTTACCTGATCTGAGGTCTACACTCACCACCCTGTACGAAACAGTGCCACTCCTACCACATTGCTGTTTATCCTTTTAACTTGCTTTATTCTTCTTCAGAGCACAAACTACTCCGGGAAATTATACCATACATTAATTTCTTTACTTGTCTGCTGTATGTTTCTTCTCCTAGAATGTAAGCTCCGTGAAGCAGGGACTTGACCTGACTTGTTCTCTGATGGATTCCATGTCCCTAAATCAATGCCTGACACATGAGCTCTCATTGAATATTTGTGGAACAAATGAATGAATAGATTTATTTTCTAAACACATATACAGTATTTAATCTGTCCCACTACGGTTCTAAGCACTTTACAAAATTAATTTTCCTAAGAATCCTACTAAATAGATTCTATTATTATCTCCATTTTAGAAATAAGGAAACTGAGGCATAGAAAGGTTAAATAGCCTCATTCAAGTCACAAAGGCAGAAAGTGGTAGAGCTGGGATTCAAACCCAGGCAGCCTGGCTCCAGAAGAGGCATACTCTTTTTTTTTTCTTTGTGAGGGAGATCAGCCCTGAGCTAACATCTGTGCTCATCCTTCTCTTTTTGCTGAGGAAGACCGGCTCTGAGCTAACATCTATTGCCAATCCTCCTCCTTTTTCTCCCCAAAGCCCCAGTAGATAGTTGTATGTCATAGTTGTACATCCTTCTAGTTGCTGTATGTGGGACGCGGCCTCAGCATGGCCAGAGAAGCCGTGCGTCAGTGCACGCCCGGGATCCGAACCCGGGCCGCCAGTAGCGGAGCGCGTGCACTTAACGCTAAGCCACGAGGCCAGCCCAAGGCATACTCTTAATTATTGTGCTACTGATGGGGTTCAGAACACCCTACCCCAAAATATGGCACCTCGGCGTATTGAATATTTTAACCTGCAGGAATTTGGGAAAACAAGCAAGTCGTTCTTTGGGGCTGGCCTCATGGCGTAGTGATTAAGTTCAACACATTCTGCTTCAGCAGCCCAGGTTCGCAGGTTCAAATCCCAGATGCAGACCTACACCACTCGGCAGTCACACTGTGGCGGCACCCACATACAAAATAGAGGAAGACTGGCACAGATGTTAGCTCAAGGCTAATCTTCCTCAGAAAAAAAAAAAGAAAAGAAAGTCATTCTGACCACCCCCCACCCCTCCTTTCTCCCTTGAAACAGGTCATAAAACCCTCAAGAAAGAGTTGCCCTCCCTATACCAGGAGGAAAGGAGCCATCCTTATCTCCAAAGACAAAGGGACTCCGAGAAGAGTCCGAACAAACAGGCTTTGCTAAATTTCCCCCAGTTTACTACACTTACCTCATACTCTTTAACCTATCATATTCCTCCACGACTGTCCACTCTTCATCAAACCTAGCATAAACACACTCAGGTTTAACCGTTCCTTCCGGTCTTTATTTGTTTATGAAGGTTCCCATGTCATGTAAAACTTACATTAAATTTATGTGCTTTAAAAAAAAAAAAAATTTATGTGCTTTTCTCCTGTTAATCTGTCTTCGTTGGTTTAATTTTCAGACCCAGCCAGGGCCCCTAAGAGGAGGGAGGAAATTCTTTCCTCTCCAACACTACCTTTTCTTCTAGCAAAAGGAATCATGCTCTACTTAGTCTGCACTGTGCTTTTTTCACCAAAGATCATGGCTACCTTTTGATATCATTGTAGGAATATACTGATGTGGTCGACACCTTGTTTATGACTTGTTTTACAATTTCCGTGAGATTCCACTCAGTCTCACGTGCTCCTACTTACTCAACTGCCTCTGGCTGGGAGCGAAGGAATTTACCTCAGGAGGTGATCAATGACTTTAATCTCCTGCCTATGTGTTCCTTGAGGCATACCGTACCTTGGAATGCAAGGACACATCTCATTCATTCGCCCCCACGCCCTAATCTTTGAGACTAACCAGACCACCTAATACTTTTTCCTTTGACATGTCTACAGAATAATAAAATAGCTAAAATCATATATAATGGCCCCACACAGACACTTCCATGCAGCAGCTCTTTACTGCCCATGGGTCCTGTGCCCATGCTGAACACAAAATAAAGGTGCACAATCGAACCAGCGGCTTGTGTCTGAAAATTCTTTTTCAACTTGCGACTCAGCGGCCCCACATCATATACCACAGTTAATTTAACCAGTCCTCTCGGTTAAACCAGTCTTCTAGAACATCTAGCTTGTTTTCAATTTTCATTATCCAAACAACATAGTCGTGAAGTGGTACTGCAGGTAACCACATTTTCAGTCTTGAGAGATAATGCCAAATAACTATCTTTTGTGTGTGTGTGTGTGTGTGTGTGTGTGTGTGTGAGGAAGATCAGCCCTGAGCTAACAACCATGCCAATCCTCCTCCTTTCTTTTTGATTGAGGAAGACTGGCCCTGGGCTAACATCTGTGCCTATCTTCCTCCACTTTATGTGGGCCGCCTCCACAGCCTGGCCTGACAAGCGGTGCACCGGTGCGTGCCCGGGATCCAAACCTGGGCCGCCAGCAGCGGAGTGTGCGCACTTAACTGCTCCATCACGTGCCGGCCCCGCCAAATAACCATCTTTAATCTGTGTGCAACATAATTTTGTACAAAATCCCTAAGACAGAAGTCTAACTTTATTTTCTTCCAGACAGTCAATTGTCCCTCATTTTAGATTGGTAGTATCTTGTTTTACAGCTCCTTTAAACTCTTTATGGAATAAAATAGCATTTAAATAAGGAAATAAAGTCATCACTGAACATTGACTGAGCACTGATTATGTGACAGGGACTAGGGAAGCAGAAATGAGTAAGGCACCACTCCAGGCCCCAGGGATCTTTCTCCAGGGAGATTTAGATCCTCAGGAAGACAAAACGCATGATGAATGAAAGAGGTGGCACCGGGAGTCTTCAATAACCAAGAGTAAATCCAGAGCTAGAGGCCTAGTGCCTTTAGGACCCGTGAATTTATGCAGAGTAACTGAGAGAAGAGCTGCTAATATTTGGAACTGAGACAGGAACCAGCCTAACGAGACAGGGCCATCTGCAAGGGCCCTGGCCTTACAACATAAGGCCCCTAACCAATCGGCAAGCTAAGAGAATCAGAGGCCACCAAGATCCACATTCCGCAGCCTCCGGACTTTCCCTGGTTTACGCATGCGCCCTCGCACCCAGGAGTCTGCTGAATGTGACCCTAGCCCCATTAGCATAGTAAAAATCACACCCGGGGCGGAGAGCTAGCATGCAATGATACATGCGTCCCATGTAGTAGTGTGCTACACGACAGCGCAGGCGCAAGCACAACCCCACCTCTACACCATGACAAGGCTCCTCCCCAGCCTTTGCCTAATAAAAGCCCACAGTCCCGCTCCCTAACGAGCCGGTCGCTTGCCCCTTTCCTTTCTGCGCCGGCTCCCCTGTGCCTCTCTTACCGCCAGCTAATAAACTTTTACTTTCCTACTCCCATGTGTCCTCTCTTGATTTCCAGCCTGGGAGATGTTGGGGAAGAGGGAGAATCCCCCTGGGCCCTTTCCTTTAAGGTTCTTATGGCTGGCCAAATATTTTCTTCTGCTAACCTGTCTTTTAATTAATACCAAGTTTAATAACATGTATACATGGGAGAAACCAGGGAAACTGAGTTTCTCAACAAAATGGCAGAGATTCTCATCTTAAATACCATCTTCAGCTAAAGACAAAGGAGGATGTTGGGGGTGGGGAGGGAGACAGAAGGGAGACAGAAATCACAGTAACCAAGGGTATGCAGATTTAAGTCCTCTCCTTCAGTACTGAAAAGTGATAAGATCATCCCCTGCCTCTTCCCAGTACACAGAGGGAGATACCTTTACAAATGTAAACATTTGGTAAACAGAACTTTGAAAAGAATGGGCTTAGCGAGGACCCTGCCAGTCTGTCCAGAGCCAGAGTTAAATTCCTTTAGGCAGTTAGTGGGGGAGGTCAAATGTTCATCAGAGAAAATAATCAAGGTAAAGAGATATATTTCAGGGTGGCTAACTTTGATCTCCCACAAGGACAACAAGAACGCATGTGACGGTTACAGAACCACTAGTAATTTTGAGTGACCTGAAAGTGAAATAGATTGTATTTTGTCCTGGGGGGCAATGGGGATGTTGGGCTTAATAAGGGGAGTAGGGCTGACCATCTTAGACACGTCTGGCTGCAGTGTGGGAAACAGAGGAGGGGGTTGTGCCGCTGGAGTGAAGGCAGGAAGACTAACGAGCCTGTTGCAACGGTTCCTGCCAGAGACAGGATTGGCTGATTGGCTGAACTGGGGCTGAGAGAACTGAACCAATTGGAAAGACCTTGTAGAGGAGGAAAAACGATTTTCCCTCCACTCTCCGAGCTCTTGGCTGAGACCTTTGTAATGAAACACAGATTAACAAGAGACAAACAAACAGAAGTTTATTAACATGTATACATGGGAGATACTCAGGGAAAAATGAGTAAGTCCCTGAGGTGGCCTAAAATACCTGCTTAAATACCATCTTCAGCTAAAGACAAAAGAAAGAAAAGTGTGAGGAGGCCACCAGGAAAAGCACGGTAAGCAAGGGTAAGGTTAGGCAGATTTCCGCGGTGCCTTCTCCACCGGTTAGATCCTTTCCTGAGTTAGTCATGCTTCTTTTCCTAGTACCAAGAGGGAAACACCCTTACAAATGATTTCCCTTACAAATATAAATTCCCCTTCAAAAGGGTAACTTCTATTCTTTCAGAGCTTCTCCAGTTTCTCTAAATAATCAGCTTAAAATAATCCTTACGCCAAAGAGGCATATTTTGTGGCGACATATTCTGCTACCCTCAGTCTCTTATAAGGTAGAAGCCACGGGAGGCACATGTGAGGAAGAAGAAGGAGGCAAGGATGAGATCCAGGTTTCTGGTTTGGACACCCGCGGGGATGAGAAACACGATGGGGGCAGAACTGGGGAAAGACGAGGAGGGAGCTCAATTTTGGACTGAGTCTGAGGTGTCTGTAGGGCATTTAGAGCGAGATCTCCAGGACGCAGGTCTGGAATTAAAGACGGGCTGAGCTGAAAAGATTTGTGGGGGTTATAAGGGGAAACGGGGAGGGCAGGACTGCCCAGCGACCGGGGTAGAGTCAGGGTATGACGCCAAGGAAATAACTTTTGGGTTTTGCCAGGGTGGGAAGGCTAGGCCCCGCCCAAGTCCACGTCCACCCCTCCCCGCGCCACACAGGGCGCTGCGCACGGCAGACAGCGGTCCCTGCAGCGCCCCGCTCGCCGGGCATGCTGGGAGCGAAAGCCCGCTCCGAGCGCCGAGCGGGTCGGGGGCTGTAGTTTGGGACAGGCCCCAGTTCCCTGCAAGTCGCGGCCTTTGGTCACTTAAAGGGCAGATCCAAAAAGCGGTGATGCTCCCGGGGCAGGGTGCCCCTCCGGCGGCGGCAGGGGGCGCCTCGGGCCGCATCCCCTCTCCGCAGAGCGTGGCACTTCCACGCCTCCACGATCTGCTCCATCTGCAGGGGAAGGCCGGTTACTGCGGAGTCCCGCAGTGCCCCTCACCCCGCAGACCCTGGGCCGCGCCCCCCGCGCCTTTCCCCACGCCGCTGAGTGGATCTGAGCCTGTTCCCCGCGTCCGCACCGGGATGAGCGGTTCCCTCCGGTTCTGCTCTTCCAGGGCGCTCAGCTCCGCCGGGGCCAGCAAGGCCAGTCTCAGCTCCCGCACCACCGGGGCGGCCACCTCGGCCACAGGCCGCTCCAGCACGGCCTGTGAAAGCCAGCCCTGAGCCCGGGCGGGCGGGGGCACCTGCCCCGCCGCCCGCTCACCGGTTCCTGCGGCGGGGGCCTCTTTCCACACCCCCACCCCGCGCTCGCCTTAGCCCGGCTCACCGCGCCCACGCGCGCCCAGCTCCGGGCCGCCAGGACGAGCTCAGCCTCGTCCACGCAGAGCTTGTCGCTGCGCAGCAGGGGCAGCAACGCGGGCGCCGACAGCTCCAGGAAGCCGCGGGTCCGGAACGCCTCCTGTGGGCCCGCGAATGGGTCAGGGAGCAGCAGAAGGAGGTGTGTGGGGCTGGGAGTACGCAGACGGGAACTATGTACCTGGCTGTGGGCCTCTATGAAAGCTATGCAACGCTCCTGCAGCGGTCCCAGACCAAAGGTTACGGCAACCTGGGGGCAGGAGGGAGGTCGGGTTGGAGACTGCGGAGGCCATGTAGGCCAGCCCTTCACACCGGGAGGTGTCCAGCAACGCCTACCTGCAGGGCCTCACAAACCAGCTCCACGTCCAGCACCTTCACCACAAACTCCAGGCACAGCTGGAAACAGAATGAATATGGGTTGTGGCAAGGTGTCCCTGCTCCAAGACCCCAGACCCACCCCAGAAGCAGTGGACAGCGCTGGAGCAGGCTCCTAACAGCCCCAGACCCATCCTGACCTCCCAGGCCAGGGGAGGTGGGGAATCACCAGGGCCTGAAACTGGGCAAGCCTGGAGGGACTAAGGACTAGCAAAGCCAAGCCCAGCAGCCTACCTTCCAGCACATTCCCCACTAATCAGACTAGATAAGAGCCATTCACAGATTCCACTCTCCTTTTCTCTCAGGATGCTTCAAAGACACTTCTGTTTTAACCAGAAACTTGAATTTCATCCATGACAGCTCCCTTGCACCCTCACAGAAAAGCACTGGCCCGTGCCACTTCCATTTCTCTCAAAGCCACGCACCTCTCTCTTGGGCTTCCACTGCCACCCCCGTCCCTACCAGACTGGTGAGCCCTTCCCATCTCTCCCAATCCCTCTCCCCTTAACTGCCAAATCCTCACTCCCTTCCCTGAAACCTCCAGTGATTCTCCACTGCCCTCTGGGTAGAAGTCCAAATTCTTGCAAGTCCTGCATGAACCAGCCCCTGGTGCCCTCTCCAATCTCATCTCTCCCTCTTCTCCTCTCACACTCTTGGTCCAGCCACACTAAATGTGTCACTAGCTCCTTTTGTGCCTCTGTGACTAGAATGCCATCTTTCCACTCCCCCTCTGAACACACTCCCATCCATTCTACCTGATCCAACACAAATGTTTCCTCCTCCAGGAAGTCTTCCCCTCCTCTCTCCCTGGTGGCGAGACTAGAGACACTCCCCGTACAGTCTCAGCACCATTTACCCTCATCTGTCACACTTCTTATGCCACTGGGTGAAGTTTTTATGTGTCTCTCTTTTTTGTGTGTGTGTGTGAGGAGATCAGCCCTGAGCTAACATCTGCCAATCCTCCTCTTTTTGCTGAGGAAGACTTGCCCTGGGCTAACGTCCGTGCCCATCTTCCTCTACTATGGGACGCCGGCACAGCATGGCTTGCCAAGCAGTGCATCGGTGCGTGCCCGGGATCCGAACCGGTGAACACCGGGCCACTGCAGCGGAGCGCCTGCACTTAACCGCTTGTGCCACCGGGCCGGCCCTTCATGTGTCTCTCTTTGAAAAACAGGGATCAAGGCTGACCTGTCCTGGTATTTATAGCACCAGCCATAAATACCCTATATGCCCCCACAGCACACATAGGGCACACACGTGTCCTTTTGCACACAGGCACACATAAATGTCTGTTTACACAGAGAGATACCGATACCCATACTTCTCTCTGTATTGGTACACGTTCCTCTCCCGACCAGAGTGTGAGGCAGGGAGCCGTCCACATAAACGCACCTGTCGCAGTTCCTCCAGCCCATACTCCACAGCGGCTGTCAGCACCTCCAGCACCTGCAGAGGGGCGGTGGCGGGAGTGGAAGGGAATTTCTCTGGTCCCTCAGCCCACCCCCGCCCTCCCCACAGCCCCCTGCCCGACGGGCTCACAGAGTGGCGGCACAGCTTGACTCTGTTGGTGTACAGGAACTCCAGCACTGCCAGGAAGGCGTCAGCTGGCACGGTGCTTAGCACTACAGGGCTAGGCACCGCGGGGCCCGGTTCTGGGCCCAGAAGTCTCTGGAAGAAGTTGCATCTACAGGCCAATAAGCACCGGTGGGCAAACACCTCCTGCCGTTCTTGACCGACCACAAAGCGAACATCACTGTGGGGAGAGGGGCGGGGAGCCAGGGGAGAAGAGGCCAGAAGCTAGGGTGCAACTCTAGGCTTAGACTTTACCCACTCTGGGCCTTCGTTTCCTTGTCTGTCATAGAAGAGACAGGGCTTAGTCCTTCCAGCTGAAGGTCTGGGACACACAGGCCTGGGATCTAGTCCCAGCTCCACCCTCAGCAAGTGACTTCCTACCTTCGAATCTCAGGTTTCACACCCCTGAAATGAAATGGTAATCCCAACCCTTCGGGTCTCAGAGGAGGTGGCTCTGCTTGATCACTGAGGGGGACCAGGGCTGATGCAAGACTGATCCCACATACCCTACTCCTCCCCAGCCTGAGTCTTGGGGGAAGGGAAGCTCTTCCTCTTCCACAGACTGCAAACTCAGCTTTTCTCAGCCTCCTCCAGGCAGGAGGGGGTGGCGGTGCCGAGTGCACTGGCTGCAAACAGACACGGCAGTGATGCAACATCGTGAGGCCAGACCACACTTTCCATCTTCATGATCACTTCCGGCCCCAGCCTCTGGGCCTCTGAACAACATAGTGGGTAGGAGGCAGGAGATGAAGCAGGAGCTTCCTGGAGTCTGGGGTCCCAGGGGTCCCAGGTCCAAGGCTGGGGTTCTCACTACTTAGACCAGACTGCAATCCTCAAAGCAGTAGGGTTATCTGAGTCACCAACCGTTGGGGAGGAGCCCAGCTCCGAGGCAGTGGAGACAGAAAGCCGCATTCCAGTTCTACTGACCAGCCCTGCCCCACGCTCCACCCCTGGTTTCAGACATCACTAGCACCCAGGGCAGGCAGCGAGCCCCAAGCAGCACCCTTGAAATACTTCCTGTCTGAGACTCTGGCTCAATCCCTTGAGCTTTGTTCCTCTTATGAATCCCTGCTTCCCAGAACAGAGTCATCTGCTCCTCTGCCTCCCCAGGGAAGGACTCAAGTTACATCCCATCTCTCAGGATCCAGAGGGCAGAGGGCTCTTCTCTGCCAGGAGCCCAAGATCCAAAAAAGGAAGGTCTTTGCCTGAGGTCACACAGCCACTCCAGGCTCCAGCCCCTAGTGCCCTCACCTCTGGCTCTCAGGGTATCATGGACACTGAGTGACCAGTAGCCATGCTCTACACTTGACTTCCCCAGACTGAGTTCACCAGAGAAGAGGGTCAAGTCCTAATTCCCCGCCTCTTCATTACCCAGAGCTTCCTCAGAGTCATGGGGCCCAGCAGAGGCAGCTAGGGAAAACCCAGAGAGGGCCCACTTCCTCACCTGTATAGGGGGTTGTTGACAAGGCTTCGGAGTGCTGTGGAAAAGGGCGCAGACTCTCCGTGCACAACCAGTCCTGGAGTCTCCATGGGAGGGGTGGGGCAGGAGAGTGAGCCGGTGGAACAGGGGCAAGAGCAGGAGGCCCGGCCAGGCCCTGGAGCTGGTGAGGAGACTAGAAAGGCCTGAGAGGGAGGGCCAGGAGCTTGGGAGGCCCGTCTGCCGAGAAGCTAAGGTTTAGGGATGGAGCAGGAGAGGCCCAGGTTTCTGAAGAAGGCATCAGAGGCCGGTGGAGGAGGCCAGAGGCTTGGCTTGGGGTTGGGGACTTCGGGAGGGGGCCAAGAGAGGCCGAGGTGGAGTGGACAGGATCGGGGAGGGGAGGCTGGCGGTGGATGAGGCCCTTGAGGCCCCGGGCTGGGAGCCTGCCCGGGCAGCCAGGGTGGGAAGCCTGTGAGTTTCCAGGGGAACTGGAGCCTGGCCTGAGAGGAGGCCCCGCCCATCTCCCACAGGCACTGGGAAAACTAGAGCCCTCAGAGGAGCCCTGAGCAGACAGAGGGTCTTAGCGCCCTGGCCCCTACCTGTTCTGGGTTCAGAGTTCAAACTCCCTGTCCCTCCTAACCCTCCTCCCACATGCACACAAGGTCAGGATCAGGTTAGCCAGGCCTGGGGAACCTCCCCTCAACAGGGAAAGTCCTCTCCCCCATAGAGTCAGAGACCAGACATGGCTTGTTTGGGAGGAGGCAGTGCTGTCCCTCCCAGAGGGGGTCAGGTGAGGAAGTGTCAGCTCTGACAGAAGTGTCACCTCTGGCATCCCTGAGATGCAGCCGCCATGGGCGGGGCAACCTGGGCACTAGGGCACACAAGAGGTGTGGCCAGCTGGGGACAAGCCCCAGGGCATTTGGGTCAGCAGGGGTCAGGAGGCTGGACTTGGGTTCACTGCCAAATTGAGTCACCACTGTTGCGCCAGGTCTGGCTCCCGCCAGCAGAGCCGATGGGCCTCCCCTCCCCCTGCTCACAGCCACCAGCTGAGGAAGTCATCCAAGCCCCACCCTAGCGGAAATGTTTGTCCTTGGTGAGGCTGATGGGGAGACGATAGAACCATGACGTGGTCCTTCCTGTGGGCCTGGATCCTGATTCCTGAACAGCCACCCCGACAGCCTCAAGGTTTCCCCATACCCCAGGCCTCTGCAACTTGCTCACAAGCGCGAAGAGCCAGTTTTCACACGGGTCGAAATGGACAGTAGCTCAAATGGGGTAGGAGGACACCTTTCTGACCACAGCCTTGCTCTACATCTGCCCCCTCACTCATCCTCGTCATGGTAGTATGCCCCTGGCCTCTAAGTCCTTGCTGTCCCCTTTCCCCTGATGACTCGGGCACCTGCACTCAGCATGTATTCAGGGTAGTAACACTCCCTGGTTAAGCCAGAGCCAGGACAGGAAGGAGGGAACAGGAAGGGAGGAATGCTTGTCCAGCAACCCATGGCAACTCCACAACACAGGCAAGGGGCCCTCACCCTCCCACCTGCCCATTAGGCCAGCAGGGCAAGGGCTGTGGAGCTAGGAGAGAGCTCGGAGGCCGAGCCTGCAGGTGACTCAGGTGCCTGCGGGAGTTTCGGGAGAAGAGGGCAGCCATCCCAGACTGATTCTGGAGGTAAGACCAGAGGCCAAAGGCAGAGGGTGGAAGGAGCTTCCTGAGTCACCCGCCCCCAGCCTCAGCCAGTTATGGGGGAGATCTTTGTGCCAACCACCCTAGGAGCAGGGAGGGGTGGAAGATGACTGGATTCAATACCCACAGGGCTAGAAGGATCTGTGGGGTTGAAGCAGTTGGGTCTGTCTGTCCCAGCCCTCTGGTTAGGGGTTGGAGGCACCACCATCTAGACTGAGGCAAAGGGCAGATACATCCCCCTCTTCTCCTGCTGGCAAAGTCAGGTGGAAGGGAGAGCAGGAGGCATACCTGGAGCTCATTAGCTAACCTCCACAGTGCCCAGGGGAAAGGGGGGCTCAGGGGCAGGGACTAGCCCCAGAGGACAATCTGAGCAGCATCTCTTCCCTTGCTTATGTACAGCCCTTAACCCCTAAGCACCTAGGAAACCACACAGCTCCGGACTATTTGATTCACCTGTCCCAAAAACAGAGGTAAGAAGGGGTCAAGGGGTAAAAACCCTCATCACCGAGTAAGAGACTGGATGGTGTACAAAGATGGCCAGTGAAGGCCATCCTGTCCAAGTGTGGGTCTTCCAGCCGGCAGGTCCATGGCTGGCAGGCCTGTGCTCCCCAGACGCCAGGAGGAGGAGTCTGCCCAAGATCCCGGGCTGAAACTATCACCGGTGCGACCCCCAGGCCGCCTGCCCAGCATTGATGAGGTCCGACGAGCAGGGCCAGGCCCGGCCTCCTGCCACGGCTCCGTGCTGGGCCTGGTCTCGTCCTTTTCACGCCGCAACTCACTGGCCGGACCAGGCCCGGGCCCGGGGGCTCGGCGACCGTCCCTGGGCCCAGTGCCTCCTCTAGGCTCGCGGCTCAGCTTCTCGGGGTTGCCGCTAGCGCCCGCCCGTCGCGCGGCGCCTTCATACCGCACAGAGCCGGCGCCCGGGGAGCGCTGGGAGGCCGCGCGCGCACAGCGGGCCCTGGAGGCGGCACT